AATATGCCTGAATACCTGCAATGTGGATGGGGGACTTTAACAGAGTCCTCAATCCTTCCCTGGATCGATTTAACCAACCAACGTCCCCTCTTTCAAACACACGGGAAACACGGTTCATTCGTTTATTGACTGAATTTGGTCTCCTTGATACCTGGAGACATCTATATCCCCTACATAGGGAATACTCCTGTTTTTCCACCAACCACTCCACTTTTTCTAGGATTAATTTTATTGCTCTATCCACAATTTTAGGTTCCAGACTTTTACAGACAGATTTTTGTCCAATTATTGTCAGACCATACCCCTTATTGGGTGTACGTTAGACCATCTATCCCAACATGGCGACTAAACCCCTTTTGGCTTACAGCCATATCTGATGCTGATACACTTGGTGAGGAATGGACCCATTTGTTTTTTTTTTACAATAAATCATGATACCGCCTCCCCTCTAGTGGTATGGAAAACCTTCAAAAAACATGTTTGGCTTATCCTTGCGTATATCTAGAACTAAACGTACCTCCAAACTAGTATGTCAACAGGCTAGTTCACATCTTGCTAGTCTCTAGGATCAGTATCTTACAGATCCCACGCCTGATCAGCTAACCAATTTGAAACTGCACACTAGATAAGTGGAACAATTAACTTATGAAAAGGCCAAACAAACTCTTTTTCACGCATCTTTTGAACATGGCGAGCGCCCCGGTAAATTACTGACATGCTTGGCTCATATGGACTCCAGACCTCCTGTCTACATTGAAGACCGGAAGACCGCTGCAGGGGCCCTGGTGTCTGACCCGTCACTGGTTGCAGCGGAATTCGTGAATTACTTCCGTGATGTGTATACCTCTAAAGTTAATTTCACCCCACAACAATTGTTGGAATACTTACAAACCATTTATTGTTCAATATTGTCAGCAGAACAGGTTATTATGCTTGAAGCTCCATTGACTAAGGAGGAAACAGACATCGCTATTGGTAAATTTAAACCCGCTAAGGCTCCGGACACTGACGGGTTGCCTCTTGAATTCTGTACCCGTTATGCTGAGATTGTTGTTCCTAAGCTCCTGATGCTCTATGGAGCCATTTTTCAGACCACTACCTTACTAGATTCTATGCGTGAGGCGCTTATAGTTCTGATCCACAAGCCAGGCAAGGATTTGAATATAGTCACCAAAGATCCATTATCTCCTGTGCTCAAAGACTCAGATAAAACGGGCGTTAGTAACAAACAGTGTGTTCATCCGCTGGTGATCAGACGTTGTGCAGCTCAATCATGAAGCTGGGGAAGCTTGATAGAACTGTAAAAGGGGATGAAAGAAAGAGCGCACAAACCTTGCGCATTACCTCAAGGTTTGTGCGCTCTTTCTTTCATCCTCTTTTAAGGATTTGAATATGCCAGATTCATATCGTCCTATCTCGCTACTACAAACCGATATTAAGATCCTTGCAAAAGTTTTGGTGATACGCCTGAATACGGTTATTACCTCCTTAGCGCATCCAGACCAAACAGGTTTTTTGCCCCTAAAAAAATACCACATTTAATACCAGGAGACTGTTTATGAATCTACAAGCTACCCACGATCATTTGGCACAAGAGTTGTGGTTCCTTTAGATGCCGCCAAAGCTTTTGACTCGGTTGAATGGATATACTTATTGCCCTAAATTTATTAAATGGATCTCTATATTGTATTCAGATCTGCAGGCTAGCATGTTATCTAATGGATGGACATCCAAGACTTTTTTTTTCTCTAGAGGTACCCGACAAGGTTGTCCATTCTCGCCATTATTATATGCTTTGGCAGCCTAACCACTAGCCTTTAAGATCCGATCGGCACATGGAGTGCGAGGAGAACTAGTTGAAAAGATTGGACTTTATGCTGTTGATATGATACTATACCTAGCCAATTCTGGCCCATCCTTGTTGCGAATTTTAGATCTTATAGAACAATTTGGTAATTTTTCTGGCCTCAAAATTAATTGGGATAAATCTCAAATTCTCTCTATTGATTCCTTTCCCCCTCCTGCTACTTCAGTCCCTGTGCCATTAGTGCGCATTAATGCCATCAAATATTTGGGTATACAAATATCTAGAATACCTGCTGAATATATTGCCCTAAATGTAGAACCCCTTTTTGTTTTTCCCTTATTAAAGCCAAATTGCCACTTTGGGGTGATGAGCAGAATTGGGTTAATAAAAATGTTCTTACTACCAAAAATTCTTTATATACTTTGGCACGCCCTGGTATATATCCCATTACGGTATTTTAAGGCTATGGACACACTCATGGATCCTAAAATCTTTTGTCTGGGGTGGAGGTAGACATAAGCTGGCTTGGCATTTCCTAAAAAACCCTACTACTCTGGGGGATATTGCCCTTCCAGATTTTGGTCTCTATTACTTGGCAGCCCAACTTTTCCACCTATATCATATTGATAAGACTGAGAGAGCAAGGTGTTCTGCACCTTAGTATCGGACCCAGAACTTGCGCCTGAGATGCATCCATTTTGCTCGAGAGGTGCTTGGGAATCTACCGCACAGCCCTTCACCAAAGGAATGGCCTGTCATTTACCGTAGAATTTGGGATCTCTGTACCTCCAAGATTAAAGCCCCACAATGTCATATACCCCACTTTGGTCTAACCCAGCAATGGGCAAACTACGGCCCGGCGGACCTTTTAATCCGGCCCGCGGAGCTAGGCTCCTGCTAGGCTCCTCTCACAGTCCGCCCTGAAGACCGGTGTAGCATGAAAATCTGTCTCCTATGAGGATCTGTCCCCCTCGACGTATCTGCGCATGTGCCGGAGATCGCCGATCGGCTGCTAATGCCTGAAACTGGCACATGCGCAGATACGTCGAGGGGGACAGATCCTCATAGGAGACAGATTTTCATGCTACACCGGAACGACGCGGGAACACGGCGAGAGGAACGCGCGGAGCAAAGGTAAGTGAATTGACACAGGGGGGACTTGGGGACTTAATATGGGGAATGAATTACTATAGGGGGAATGAATTACTATATGGGGGATGAATTACTATAGGGGGGATGAATTACTATAGGGGGGATGAATTACTATAGGGGGGGGACAGATGAATTACTATATGGGGGATGAATTACTATGGGGGATGAATTACTATGGGGGATGTTACTATGGGGGATGAATTACTATGGGGAATGAATTACTATATGGGGGATGAATTACTATATGGGGGGATGAATTACTATATGGGGGATGAATTACTATATGGGGGATGAATTACTATATGGGGGATGAATTACTATGGGGGGATGAATTACTATATGGGGGATGAATTACTATATGGGGGATGAATTACTATATGGGGGATGAATTACTATGCTTACTATGGGGGAATATTACTATACTTACTATGGATGACACATACACATCATTCATCTACTCTTGGTCCGGCCCCGGGTCCAATATATGAACCCATTGCGGCCCTCAAGTCAAAAAGTTTGCCCACCCCTGGTCTAACCGATTGTTGCCTGAACTTCTCACTGTTCCTGACCACAGGTTGTGGACCTCTAGAGGTGTATACCTTCTCTCCTATGTATTATCAAATGAGGCATTAAAGTCATTTGAGGTCTTGAAGCGGGAGTTTTCCTTCCCAAATTTTTTGTTGTTCTGTTACATTCAGGTACGACATGCCCTAGTGTCCGAATTCCCTAATGGCTTCCCGTCCCTCACGGCAGTGTTGTTATTCGATGCAATATATGGAGAAGTGCCTCGTAAATTGATTTCTTCTTTATATGACCTTTAACTTACCCCAGAGGCATCTGATTCGGCCTACTCTCTTAAATCTAGATGGGTGACAGATGTCCGAGTTATCGATGATGAGGAATGGGAGGAAGTACTAGATAACTGTAAGCAGGTTTCCCCTAAGTTGCCGGATCACCTTACTCAACTTTACATAATGCATAGGGCATATCTCACTACACCTCGTTTAGCACAGTTTGGAACTGACAGGGACCCCTATTGTCCTAAATGCCATGTGTCCCTGGACGCGGTTTTCCATCTGATTTGGCAATGCCCATGGATAAATGGATTTTGGCTCGGGTAGTCCAATTTTTGCACGACCATATGCGTTCTCCTGTACCCTTGGACCCAAAGCCTTGCCTGTTGGGAATAATCCCCACTTCAGAAGCTGACAGGCATTTTGACTACTTTTTAACATGAAATGTTATTTAGTGCCAGGAAATTGGTAGCCCATCATTGGATGCAGGCACTTCCTCCAACTTTGGAGGAGTGGAAGGCAGATATTAACAACACCCTACCCTTGAAGACATTGATATATGTTAATAGAGGATGTCCCAACAAATATAATAAAATTTGGGATTGTTGGTTGCAGTCTACGAAGACTAGCACCTAGATGAGATAGGTCTGTTACACCGGGTCGTAGACACTGGCCGCACTGCCCCTGCAGTCAATAACTTCATAACTATATAATTTGCACAGGTCCTTATCTCCATGCCATATTTGGTGTTTTATCTACATTTTATCACAGTGTTGATTTTCTCTGGTTGTTTAACCACTTCCAGTCCGGACACTTTCACCCCCTTCCAGTCCAGGCCAATTTTCAGCTTTCAGCGCTGTCAAATTTATTCCATTATCTTTTTAGTCAAAAAATAAAATAACCCAAATTAGTTTATAACCAAAAATTATAATTTTTAAACATTTTTTACATTTTTGTTTTATATTATTATTGTTTTTTTTTTTTTTTTTTTGTTTTTTATATACATACTGTCACCCTAGCAGTACTGTACTACTTGTGGGGGGTGATGAAGATTTTTTTTTTTTTCACACTGATTGCTTTTACACCCATAAAGGCTGTAAAAGCAATCATTTCTCCTTCTCTTTGGCTACATTCTTGCAGCCATTGAGAACTACAGTGTGAGCTGTGATTGGTCACACAGCTTGTACAAGGCTGTTGTGAATAGCCTTGTACCATGTGACTTCTGTGATCATTCACAGATTTCACATGTAGTAAGCAATGATGTCAGAAGTGACATCTTGCTTACTACTCTGCATGTGATCACTGATTGGCCAATCAGTGATCACATGATCGGGACCTCGTACAGAGGTCCCGTCCGACGATCGGTGTTCCACTGTGTCCTGAGGACACAGCGGGCACCGGATTGCAGTGCTGTGCGCTCCTAGGGAGCACGCACAAGCAGGGTGCGGGGAGGCCATTTATAAACGGCGGGACGGGAAGTGGTTAATGATTGCCTACCATTCCTTATGCTACACAAATATATGTACTGTTAAATTTCTGTTTTATATTTTTTATTCAATATAGATTCTTTTTTGTTAAAAAAAAAAAAAGTGCTTTCACTCTCCCCTAGAATAAACGAGCAGTTAATCTTTGTCATGTGAGCACAGCCTCACTGCAAAGGAGAATTTTTAGATTTCCTGAAGTTGGGCTGTAAATGGTAATCCCAATTTTCCAAGGGCCGTGGTTGTTCTCTAAACTCTATCAGCCGTCTGTATGTAGGAGAGATTGCAGATTAAATGAGCGGCCACTGAGTTGCTCTCTTCCTTTCTTTGTATTTCAGGTATCAGCCTGAAGCCTGTGCGGACAGCCACCACCCTGTGTGTACCAGATCCTGCCTTTAATGACAGGCAGAGCCACACTCTAGTGGCACCTTCAGACACCCCAGTGCAGAGGCTGCTGCTCAGCGCATACTCCACGCAGGGCCTTTCCGGAGGAGGAGGGGTGACATTCGAAATGTGGTGTCGGTAAGGTGTCCAGACAAATGATAACACAACAAATCATCACATAGTAAAAATAACATAACACGTTTATGGTATATCAATACCAGGATGGAACTGTTATTCTATTCAGACCATATTTTAATGTTGTTTTTTTTTTTTTAATTTGTGAGCTTTTCTTACATTTTGTTGAAAGTAGTGATGTTACTTTGAAATATATAAATAAACAGCGCAAAAATAGACCTAAAATCAAATATTAATAAATCACAAAATATAACTGTCCCATATCAATAAGTGCATATGAAAATTTCTTTCAAGAACAGGACACCATAAAAAAGTCCCTTGTAGTGAAAAATACGAACTCCAAATAATTTTTCTAGCCTTCCACCTTTCACCCGTGCACACCAAAATCAAATCCACTCACCAGATTTTGGTGAATGAAAAGCCTTTAGGATCTTATGGGGAATCCTATACCCTCTTTTCATCAGCTCGATGATAGCCTCTCCAAGATAAAATCCTCTTACAGGTCCTCACCGTGGCTCCCTTGTTTGCTCCACCGTATCATCAAAGAGAAAACTCACATAGTGTAATATTGCCAGATCAATCTTATACAATAACGAACAGAATCCAGGCCACTCACATTTCAATAGCTTGTAAAAGGCACATTTTTTAAGCCCATGACATCCTGATGATCAAAACCAGCCAACATACTCCAGGGTTCCCACACCAATGTAGCCAGATAGAACAGAGGAACAGCAGAGAGCCAGCCTAAATCCCGCAAAATGGCCGCTGGAACGCACCGCTCGGCGTACGTTCCACTCACCGAAAGTGACGTCAGACGTAAGGCAAATGAACCGAAAAGGCTTTTCATTCACCAAAATCTGGTGAGTGCATTTGATTTTGGTGTGCACGGGTGAAAGGTGGAAGGCTAGAAAAATTATTTGGAGTTCGTATTTTTCACTACAAGGGACTTTTTATGGTGTCCTATTCTTGAAAGAAATTTTCTCTGACACAGATATGCACTTATTGATATGGGACAGTTATATTTTGTGATTTATTAATATTTGATTTTAGGTCTATATTTGCGCTGTTTATTTATATATTTCAATGTTTGTGTCTTCACATTTTTGCACAGCAGCAATTTAGAAGGGTGATTTACTTAATTTGTGTTTTGGCGCAGGAATATTTTTCTTTTATTAGTGATGTTACTTTGTCTGCCATGTGTGTATATTCTCCAGAAACTAACTTTACCAATCAGAGTGTTATAGTGGACCTATCCCATTGAAGTAGGCATAATGAGCATAATTTAAAGATATTCGATCTCTTTTGAAACACTTTATAGATCAGTTTAAAGTAAGTTAAGAATTACGTACTTCTACTGTATATGTTTTTACCAATATAACTCAATTCAGAGATTCCTCTTCTGTTAAAGTGGTTGTAAAGGCTTAAAGTGGAGCTCCACCCAAAAGGGGAAGTTCCACTTTAACGACTGCTCCCCCGCTCCCAATTAAGGATTGGCACCTTTGGGGGGCGGATGGGGGGGAGCGGATACTTGAATTTAACAGGTACCTGCTCCCACTTCCGGTCTGATCGCCTAGGCGATCAGAAGTGGAAGGTGTCCTCCCTCCCTGTAGTCTTTTGGGACACGTGACAGGTTCCAGACGACTATACGACCATTCATGAAGCGCAGCGCTACTCGCACATGCGCAGTGGGTACCCGGGTGTGAAGCCGCAAGCTGTCCCAGCCGGGTGCCCACACTGAAGATGCAGGCCTCCTGGAATACAGGATGGCTGGTGAAACGGGCTGCGGGGGACACACCACGGAACCAAGGGACAGGTAAGTGGCTGTTAAAAGTCAGCAGCTACAGTTTTCTGTGTGCATAAGCTCCCCCTAATTCTTACCAGAGCCCCATTGTGATCCAGCGACGTATACGAGAGCATCAGCTCTATGGGGACTCTCCCTCCCCATTGGCTGAGACAATCACAGCCAGTGCGCCAATGAGGAGAGAGAGGGGGCGAGGCCGAGCCACTGCTCTGTGTGTGAATGGACACGTACAGCAGCGGCTCGGGAGCAAGCCTGCTTTGGTCTCCCCTTAGCAAGCTGCTTGCTCTGGGGTCACTCGGCAGGAGAGAAGGGCCAGGAGCACTGGCAGGGGATCCGAAAAGAGGAGGATCAAAGCTGTTGTGTGCAAGTATCTTTTTTTTTTTTTTTTTTTTTTTTTATTGCCTTTAATATTACTTTAAAGTGATTTTTGTAAAGGTTCAGATTTTTTTTTTTAAATACCAAACATGTAATACCCACCTGCTCTGTGCAGTTATTTTGCACAGAGCAGCCTGGATCCTCCTCTTCTCGGGTCGCCAGCTGGCTTTTTGCTCTGGGGACACCTGTGTATGCTCTCTCTCGAGCCGCCTTTGTGTGTCTAAGATGGGGGTCGGCAACCCGTTGATCGCGATCCACTGGTCAAACACAGGGAGGCAACAGGTTGATCGTGACCTGGTTTCTGCCTCCCCCCAGCCTCCGCCACTCTCATGTCACAGGCAGAGCGGAGAGCAGGAGGCAGTATAGTGCTGGATGGAGGGCTGGGTCGGGGGTGGAAGCTGCTCAGTTATTGGTTGCTAGGTTGTTTTTAGCAGCCAATCACCTGCTCCTGCCTTTCACCCAGCACTGTGTTGTCCTCTGATCTCCGCTGTGCTTTACACACGCTGACAGGTTGGCAGGCAGTGCTACCTGTGTGTGTTATATGAAAGGCAACGGCAACACAGGAGACTCTGTGGGAGTGGGGCTTAGGAAACTTTGTGGGAGGGGGGCTTAGGAGACTCTGTGGGAGGGGGGCACAGGAGACTTTGGGGAGAGGGGGGGGGGGTGGGAACAGAGTAAATTATAGTGGGGAGGATCTTGAAGAGAAAAGGACAGGGGACACTGCTTTGGTGGATGGGGAGGCAGAGGACACTTTGTGGGGGGCAGAGGACACTGCTATGGGGCAGGGTAAAAGACACTACACCTGGGAAGGGGGGGGTGATGTGAAGGGGGGCAGAGGTCACTGGTTTGGGAAGGAGGTACAGGACGCTACTGGGGGGAGGGGGGGCAGAGGATGCGTTCAAAGAAGCTGTCCATGCAAGTGAAACAGGCCATTGTAAGGCTTAAAAATGAAACAAATCCATCAGAGAGATGGCAGCAACATTAGGAGTGGCTGGCCAAATCAATATTTTGATACATTCTGAGGAAAGAAGAACGCACTGGTGAGCTCCGCAACATAAAAAGGCATGGATGTCCACGGAAGACAACAGTGGTGGATGATCGCAGGATCCTCTCTATGGTAAAGATAAACCCATTCACAACATCCAGACAAGTGAAGAACACTCGCCAGGAGGTGGACGTATTGTTGTCAAAGTCTACAATCAAGAGAAGACTTCACGAGAGCAAATACAAAGGGTTCATCTTAAGGTGCAAACCATTCATAAGCCTGAAGAATAGAAAAGCCAGATTAGACTTTGCCAAAAAACATCTAAAAAAGCCAGAGCAGTTCTGGAAAAGAATTCTTTGGACGGATGAAACTAAGATTAATATGTACCAGAATGACGTGAAGAAAAAGGTGTGGAGAAGGCTTGGAACAGCTCATGATCCAAAGCACACAACGTCCTCTGTAAAACATGGTGGAGGCAGTGTGATGGCATGGACATGCATGGCTTCCAGTGGCAGTGGGTCATGACTGGGTCATTGGTGTTTATTGATGATGTGACAGAAGACAGAAGCAGCCAGATGAATTCTGCAGTGTTTACAGATATACTGTCAACCCAGATTCATCCAAATCCAGCAAAGTTGACTGGACGGCGCTTCACAGTACAGATGGACAATGATCCAAAACACACTGCAAAAGCAACCCAGCAGCTTTTGAAGGAAAAGAAGTGGAATATTCTGCAATGGCCGAGTCAATCCCCTGATCTCAACCCAATTGAGCATGCATTTTACTTGCTGAAGGAAAAACTAAAGGCAGAAAGACCCACAAACAAAGACTGAAGACAGCTGCAGTTAGAGCCTGGCAAAGCATCAGAAAGGAGGACACCCAGTCTTTGGTCATGTCTATGGGTTCCAGACTTCAGGCAGTCATTGCCAGTAAAGGATTCTCAACAAAATATTAAAAGTGAACCTTTTCTTTAAGATTATATTCAACTGTCCAATTACATTTGAGCCCCTGAAAATGGAGGGACTGTGTATAAAAATGGTTGCAGTTCCTAAAATTTGTACTTGATATTTATGTTCAATCCCTTGAATTAAAGTTGAAAGTCTGCACCTCAGATTCATTTGGATTGTTTCGTTTTAATTAATTCTGGTGGCATACAGAACAAAAAGTATGAAAATTGTGCCAGTGTCCAAATGTATATGGACCTAACTAAATGCAGACGTTTTATTGAATAAAGCAACATGTCCTATTTGTATCCCCTGCAGGTACTATTACCCCAATGTCAGAGACCAGATGGTGGCTAAATGCGTGCTGCCATTGTCCCGTCTGTGTGCTATGGTGACAATGCATCATCGGGAGGAAGTGGGGATCCAGGCATTCTGTCTGCCACTTACACTGAGAAGTGAAAACACAGCCGAAACTCCTACTCCTTCCTCTGGTAGCTGCAACTTGTAACGCTGTATATTTATAACTTCTTATGGTCTACTAGTAATGTACTCACATCCTGATAAGATGGGATTCAAAGGGAACATGATCTAGCCTCAAATACTTCTCTAATAATAATACCAATGCAATACTTGTGTATTCTTCATACAAATCCTTGTGGAGCCCCATTGGCTCCTAGGTCCATGCAGCCCATGGAGCCTCAGCGTCTGTCCAAGTTGAGAGTAGGCTCTGTCCCTCCTGACACCAAGTCTTACCCTTTGTCATTCACCTTTCAATGCCAGAGTCTCTACTGCTCACTGATGTTCAGTCATTTGACAGTTAAATATTAGGCGGTGTGCTTACTTTTTGGAAGGGCAGGTCCAGAAGTCAGGCCAAATGTACAGCCTGGACCTAGAATCCAAAGGAGCTTCACATGTCCTGGGTCATGTTCACTGAAAAGAAAACCTTTACTGAAAGAAATATAAATACTGCAATTGCTGACCTATTGAAAATGTTAGTTTTACTGGCTAGTATTTAGGAGCTAGGGGTGGTGGCAGGCCAGAGTTCAACCACAGAAGCTGAGAAAGATCTTTAGTAGAGAACCCAAGTTTTGTTAACTGAAAGACACTTCCAAGGTTATTGGCAGATTTGAGCAGACACATGGAGGTGTCTACACTGAGGGTATGGGGCCACCATAGGAGGTACAGTCAGCTACTCTGAAATGTACATCTATTCTAGTGGATAACTGCCCTTTTACTGCACACATTAACCATACTCTTGCCATGACCAGGCTATTATAAAGACTGTAGGCTCTGGCAACTAAACACATTGACCCTTAGATGCAGATCATTGTCATTTGCACTGAAGACTGTCGATACAGTGCTACCTAACTGTCGCTTTGCCATAATAACCTGTCTCTATGGGTCCAGTTCTGATCATACCACTAATTGCTTAATATTTCTCTTCTTTCAGGTTTACTCAATGTAAATGTGACCTATAGAAGATTGGTCAGAAGTCCAGTGGGTGTATTGGCTACACGCATGGTCTCCATTTCTGTTCAGATCCATCGAGCCACAGGGCTTCAGGCTGCTGCCAGGTACAGCTGCCCATTCTGCTCTTTTTGTGTTGCTATAGCTATATACAGGTGAAACTCTTGAATAATCATCACAATGATGACAAATCACGGCTTGAACTATCTTGCTTTGCATGTAATGAGTCTATCTCATATATTAGTTTCACCTTTTAAGTTGTATTGCTGAAATAAATGAACTTTTGCACGATATTCAAATTTTTTGAGTTTCACCTGTATGTATATGTATGTGTATATGTGTGTGTGTGTGTGATCACCTGGTTGTGTCCAGGATGGCAGGTACATTTGTCCTAGATTCAGGCTGTATGTGATATTAAGCTTTCTGTGACCCACCAGCTAATAATGGGGCCATCAGTCCAGCCCACTGCTCCTTAGGCCACTTTTCCCTTTCAGCAGTATGTTCAAATGTGGCTAAAAACACCTCCCATCATTTTTGGCAATAAACGGCCCACACAAAATGATGGTGTATTAACGGAATCACTCCTAAGGCACTTTGAAATCTTCAAACTACGGAGCCCCATTATTAGCTGGGGAGTCGGAGAAAGCTTATTATCACATAGAGCCTGAATCTAGGACAAATGTACCTGCCATCCTGGACGCAACCAGGCGATTTTACCGACCTGTATGTGTGTGTGTGTATTTTTATATATATATATATATATATATATATATATACAAGATTTATATAGCGCCTTACAAAATGAAGGTAGTCATTACAGTTACAATACAATTTGGTACAAGAGAAAACAGAGGGCCCTGCTCGTTAGAGCTTACAATCAATCTATATATATATATATATATATATATATATATATATATATATATATATATTATACATTTTTTAATTTTGGCAAAGTTTGGGGGTACTAGCAACTGTGGTAATGCTTGAGAACCAACTTGCAAAGCCGTTTTTTTAAGTAAGCAGAAAGTCTTTATTCATCTCAAGGTAAACAAAGCAACTCTTCCAGCAGCAAACAAAAATGGCTTAATTCTGGCAAATTGAAAAAATAAAAGTCCCCTTATCTGCAGCACAAAATACCCTCAACAGTGTTTCACTCACACAAGGCTTTTACCTGCAGGAAGTATAGTACAGCCCAAGCACATTTAGGCAGCTCCTAGCAGTACTCCAGACACTTGTCTGCTCTCGACCCATTACTACTCCATACCTGCTGTAGTAGCTTCCTGTTTTTAAATGCCTCTTCCTTTTCTGGGTCCCCACAATCAGAGTTGGAAGTTCTTTCCCACCCAAACATCTCTCAAAGCCTCTGAATTTTGGGTCTCAAAGGAGGATTTTCCAATCGAGATAGCACTCTAATTTAGTCCTCTCCTCTGATAGGGATATCCCGGGACCCCTCACTCTGCATAGAACACCAACTGCATATCAGTCGTGCCCACAACCCAAACAAATCTAGGTGAAATATAGTGCTCAACCAGAACCCACTCTCAGTGTACTGTACAATATATAAATAAAGACTTTGGTCAGAGGAGCTGAGATTCCCTGTACTGCAGAAGCAAAGGTTCAGGATTAGGTCTTTTTAAGTGCACCAAGCTGTTAAAATCCAGAGGCTTATACACAGACACATGGATACACATAAACCAAAAGTATGAGGCATGTAGACCTTGATCCCTCTTTGTATTTCCATATGAACAGTTGGACAAATACTGGAATTCAGTAACAATCCTTTGCGAATGTGAAATTCCATTTCCTGTTCACTTTTTGGTTAAATGTTTTCTTAGAAACGGTCCGTTAACTCAAAACTGTTTTGTCTGCTATTTGACAATTTTAGAGAGTTAAAGCTGAATTTCAGGTAAGCAGCTGAAAAATCTATATGTGAGCGGTTTTATCTATCAAAGCACTGGTAATTCTATCAAGCCACTCTCGTGATCCAGACACTCCAGCTAGACACCTACTAGTCACCTACGTAAAATTCAAAACATTAAAAATAACATATAAAGCCATTTATAACTCTTCCCCAAATTACATCACCAATCTTGTCTCCAAAAATCACCCAAACCGTACTCTCTGCTCCACGCACGACCTCCTGCTCTCTAGCTCCCTTGTCTCCTCCTCCTCCCCCATGCTCGTCTCCAAGACTTCTCCAGAACTTCCCCCATCCTCTGGAACTCTCTACCCCAATTTATTAGACTATCGCCTACTCTGCCCACTTTTAGGCGATCTCTGAAAACCTATCTCTTCAAGGAAGCTTATCCTGCCCTCAGCTAATAATGGAATCTTCTATTCCTCCTACCAGTCCATCCCCCACAGTTACTACCTTCTGTACCACTAGCCCCTCCCTCTTAGATTGTAAGCTCCAAGCAGCAGTGCCCTCCTAACCCTCTTGTATTGAACTGTATTGTTGCTGTATTGTCTCCCGTTTTATTGTAAAGCTGTAACGGAACCGACACCAGACTGCACTTGGGTATTTCCGTTAGACTACCGCTTCCCTGTCCGACCACCGACCACAGACACCACCGCTGACCATACAAGACTAGACGACACCAGTCTTGAAGTAAACCAGGAAATATACTAGTTTATTTTAACACAGATACAAGATATATACATTCAAGGCAACAACCTCCCCTCCTTGCATAATGACACAGGGCGGGGCAAAAAGAGACACACCAGCAGACAGTCCCATCAGTAGGGAGGGCTGCTGGAAACACCCCCCCACCAAGCCAATACACATAAACACATACATCCCATAATAGTTTGCTGCTAAGCAAGACACACAATAGAACAATGGGACGCAACCACATGGCATTAAACAATCAACAACCCCCCACCCCAATATCACCCTGTACCCCTAACAGGCCCCGGGGCGACTTACACATAATAGGGATATGGGGAGCTGAGACAGGGGTCTCCCCACCTCTCCAAAGTAAGCTGTGTTCCATGGGTCCCCCCACCCAAAATTACTCCCGTCACAAAAGCGCCGAGCAAACAGTTGGCGCTATACAAATCCTGTATTATGATAGTAGTAGTAATAATACCGTATTTGCCGGCGTATAAGACGACTTTTCAACCCGTGAAAATCTTTTGAAAAGTCGGGGGTCGTCTTATACGCCGGTATACGGCGAGCCGGTGTCAGGGTGGCACTTTTTCGAGGGGCGGCGCCGCCCCCCCTCCTCCTCTAACGGACACCAAGTACAGGGGCGGGCAGAGGGGCTGCTGTACCTTACCTGGCTCCGGTCCCGGTCCCACGACGATCCGGTCCAGGAAGCGCGGCTGCTCCTTCTTTCAGTTCGGCCGCTCGATGGTCCCGCCGCCCGCTCGGCTCCGCCTCCTCACCGGTGATTGGGCGCCAGCACTGGAAAGGCACACAGGCGACCAATCACCGGCGAGGAGGCGGAGCCGAACGGCCCCGCGAAAATCAAGTGGCCGAACTGAAAGAAGGAGCAGCCACTCCTCTCCCCCCACTGACACTAACGATGGGGCACTATTCCTCCTCCACACTGACACCAACGATGAGGCACTGTTCCTCCCCCACTGATACCAATGATGAGGCACTATTCCTCCCCCACTGACACCAACGATGGGGCACTATTCCTCCCCCACTGACACCAATGATGGGGCACTATTCCTCCCCCACTGACACCAATGATGGGGCACTATTCCTCCCCCACTGACACCAATGATGGGGCACTATTCCTCCCCCACTGACACCAATGATGGGGCACTATTCCTCCCCCACTGACACCAATGATGGGGCACTATTCCTCCCCCACTGACACCAATGATGGGGCACTATTCCTCCCCCCACTGACACCAATGATGGGGCACTATTCCTCCCCCACTGACACCAATGATGGGGCACTATTCCTCCCCTACTGACACCAATGATGGGGCACTTTTCTCCCCACTGATACCAATGATGGGGCACTATTCCTCCCCCACTGACACCAACCATGGGGCACTATTCCTCCCCACTGACACCAACGATGGGGCACTATTCCTCCTCCCCACTGACATCAACGATGGGGCACTATTCCTCCTCCCCACTGACATCAACGATGGGGCACTATTCCTCCCACTGACACTAATGATGGAGCACTATTCCTTCCACTGATACCAATGATGGGGCACTATTCCTCCCACTGACACCAATGATGGGGCGCAATTCCTGCCACTGATACCAATGATGGGGTGCTATTCCTCCCACTGACACTAATGATGGAGCACGATTCTTCCCACTGACACCAATGATGGGGCACTATTCCTCCCATTGACCAATGATGGGGCACTATTCCTCCCACTGACACTAATGATGGGACACTATTCCTCACACACTGACACTAATGATGGGGCACCATCATTGGTGTCAGTGGGAGGAATAGTGTCCCATCATTGGTATCAGTGGGAGGAATAGTGCCCCATCATTGGTATCAGTGGGAGGAATAGTGCCCGTCATTGGTGTCAGTGGATGAAATAGTGCCCCATCATTAGTGTCAGTGGGAGGAGTAGTGCCTCATCATTGGTATCAGTGGGAGGAATAGTGCCCCATCATTGGAATACCATACTGAAATACCATACCATATTGAAATCAAATCTGATGTTTTTTCATTTTTATTTGGTGTGTGTTGGAAGAGGGGTAGTCTTATACGGCGAGTATAGCTCAAACCCTATATTTTAACAGGAAAAGTAGGGGGTCGTCTTATACGCCGGCAAATACGGTAATAATAATAGTCAGCCTTCACCGCAGCACAGCTTGATGAAGAACACACCCCTAATCTGCTGATTTGACAGTGCAGGAGAAGCAGCAGACTACTGAGGTCTTCCCTCTACTAACTTACTCACTCTACTGTCATGTACCCACCTCACATATGCCTGGAAGCACAGGCGAACAGTGCTCCCCACCCTTTTTAGGTCTTTTGTACTGGATTTCTATTGGGGAGGAAACCCTGCAATAAATTTGCAACACTAAGTGTTTCTACAGGAGATCTCAGTAGTTCTGAAAATCCTGCAAGCTCCTTCTTCTTCAACTGAATTATCTATTTTGGTTGGAAAATGTAATAACATTATGCATGTTGTGTTACAATTCTCTATTTCTCTCAGAGTTCTCGCAGAAGATGACCCGGCATTTCAATACAGCGCGGAGGTCGGGGTGAATGCCTTTGTCATAATTCGCCCATCTTTCTTACCGGAGGTGGAGAGTCGCAGCACGCGTACTGTGGCTCGCAGCTTTTGCCCTGAGTTTGACCATCATTCGGAGTTTCCGTGTAACATCTTGACCCAGAGTAGCGGTGGGGAGGCGTATAGCCTGGCAGAGATCCTTCATTCCTCTGAGATTGTACTGTCCATTCACCACCAGAGCGTCACATCAGGTAATCAGTCTCTCCACAACCTTCTCTGTCTCCTTTCAAATGTGTTGATGATGATGTACCTTGTGGCTTTGAACAGTTTTATCCTTCAGTAGATGCAGGAGAATGTAGAGTAAAAGCAATCTTGTCACCAAACTAAAATTCTCCGTAAAAGGAGACCTTGTTAATAGCGTTGTGATTGATCCTTTACTAAAGAGAAATCCTCAGCCTAAAGTACAACTATAGTCAACTTTTTTTCCCCAAATTTAATAGAGCAGGGGTGGGCCTTTAGCTTTTGCAGAACTACAAGTCCCATCATTCCTCTTGGAGTCATAATTGTAACTGTCAGTCTTGCAGTGTATTATGGGAAATGTAGTTCCACAACAGCTGGAGAGGCGTAGGTTGCCCACCACTGGGATACAGTAATGGAGGATTATAACCCCTGTCAGATTTTCTTTTTGCTATCTATGTCCCATTGCGGAGATTTCCCTTTATTTTCTGTCCCATAACAAACAGAAAGTGAGAGAAAATCCCTGCAAATTAAGGGAATTCCTTGGGGATCCCCAGGATTTTTTCTTTCAATGATAATCTTCTAGATTGTAAGCTCGAAAGAGCAGGGCCCTCGATCCCCTCATGTTTTGCATTGTATTGGTATTGTTCTGTCACATGTTCTGTCCCCCTTTGTAATGTACAGCGCTGAGTGAACTATTGGCGCTTTATAAATACTGTATAAAATAATAATAATATAATAATGGTAAACAGGATAAATCGAGGGGCTGAATCTCCATAACGGGGGCACAGACCTCAATAAAAACTGGCAGGTGTTCTAATCCATTAGTTTTATCGACCCCTTGAGGGTTAGGGACTGATTTGAATGTACAGTATGCATGTAAAGTGCTGCGTAAGTTGACGACACTATAGAAGTACCTGTAATAAATAAATAAGACCCCAACAGGAGCACAGAGTACTTTTTTTTTTTTTTTGAGAGCTTGGTCCCACTGGGGAGATTTCTCTTTATGTCCTGTCCAGAAAGTGAGAGAGAACCTCTCCAAATCCCCTTTGTAACATGTGATATCCATATTCAGGATGTCACATGTTACTGTTGCAGCAGCCTCTGATCCCCCCTTTGTGAAAGTAAGTGGGGGTTCTTCCCCCCAAGATTGCTGTCACAATTTTAAAAAATTTCAGAGTAGTGTGAATGTGAAAACTACAAATACGGACAGCCTTTCCGGATGTCGTCTTGTAGTTTTCAATGAGCTACCAGGGATCTGTAGAGTGCTCTAGGTAGTTCAATGAGTTTTCACATTGTGTAACTGCCTGCTAGTACAAGGTGTGAGCAGACGGCTTACATTGACAGTCTGCAAATGCCCTGCATTGCACCCTCGATCTGCTGATTGCTGCTGCAATGCTTTGCAGGCTCCTAGTAAAAATAAATAATAAATTTTTTTTTTTTTTATAAAAAAGATGTATATTATTATTCTTTTTTTTACAAAAGAGAAGTTATGCTTTAGAAGCCATCTTTAGAAACTGAGGAATAATGATGTCTTGGTCCCCCCAGTACTCGCCAACCTTCATGTCACTACTGCGGGGTTGATTTACTAAAACTGCGGGGTTGATTTACTGATGTGCAAAATCTGGTGCAGCTCTGCATAGAAACCAATCAGCTTCCAGGTTTTTTTTTTTTTTTTTTCGTTAAAGCTTGATTGAACGAGCTGAAGTTAGAAGTTGATTGGCTACCATGCATAGCTGCAGATTTTGCACTCTCAATTTTAGTAAAGCAACCCCTGTGTCTTCTGTTGATGTGAATGTTTGCGGGAATCACGGGGGGAGCAGGGGATAGAAAATACTACAAGTGTCAAACAAGACTTTAGCCAGAGATTGCTCTTCATGGGAGCAATATTGAGCTGCACAGGCAGCAGGAGAGGCAAGTATTCCCGTTCCTCTTTTATGAGAAATTTTAGTTTGGAGAGTTGGTTTAAAGCATATCTGTAGTCAAATGTACTTTTAATATTACAAAATGTCAAAAGTCTCCCCTGGCCCTCCTCCTAAAGTTACAAAAAGCAGAGCATTATTTTTAGACTGGCATTTTACCACCAGCAACCCCCCCTTCCTGCAGAGAAGAAATGTTTGTTTTTCTTTTTATGGCAATCTATGGTGCAGATTATGCTAGCCATATTTCCTCTTTTTTTGTATAGTATATTTACAGGAAGACCATGTCCACCAGCTTCAGGTTTATGCCATCATTCACTTGTCAGATGTTAGGAAAGAAAGCCCTATGTAATCTCTGAATTTGTTTAGTTGGAGCTTACACAGGGCCGAGGGCTCTCGCCCTGCTACTATGGCAGTACTGGGCAAATCAACGAGCATCTGAGAGGAAGGGAATCGAGTCATACTCCTGGTGGGCAAATGGAACAGGAGCAGATTGAAAGAAATATAACTTTGTACTTCTGGGAGTTGTTAAAGTGAAATTTTGCATGGTCAAAGCACATGCTAACTTTAATAGCATTACTAATGCAAATGTATAATTTCTTCATTTATTTTGTAAATGTGCTGTTTGTCAAAGGTTCATCACCTCTTGCTAACAAATCTTTTTGTCTTCAGCTGGAGTTGGCAAAATTCATCCAACCCACGATTACCATTTGGGTGTTTTGAGAATTCCAACAAGAGATCTGCTTAGCAAAAGATCAGGTAATTGTATTATTATGCATCCCACCACACAAAGAAATTCCTTTAGACAGGAAAGACCAGCTTCCATGGTCGCTGGTTCTGGTAACCTACTGCTGTCGCATGCATCTTGCTGTTGACCCATCACTAGAATTGTCAGCCTCCTTAAAGCGGAGTTCCACCCAAAAGGGGAAGTTCCACTTTAAAGATTGGTCCCCTGCTCCCCATTACAGATTGGCACCTTTGGGGAGCAGGGCGGGAACCGGTACCCGAATTTGACAGGTACCTGCTCCCACTTCCGCTGCGATCGCCTAGGCAACCTGAGAGCCGCAGGACTACAAGTTCCATCATGCCTCTGCAAATCATAGGTGTAACTGTCAGTTTTGTAAGCTTTGCAATGCCTCATGGGAAATGTAGTTCCACAACAGCTAGATAGCCGCAGGTTGCCTACCCCTGGCCTGGGCGATCGGAAACGGAAGTTGACCCCCTACCCTCCCTCCCCGTAGTCTTGTGGGACACGTGACAGGTCCGAGAAGATGACGGGCCATTAAGGAAGCGCAGCGCTACTCACGCATGTGCAGTGGGCACCCGGCTGTGAAGCCGCAAGCTGTCACAGCCGGGTGCCCACACTGAAGATGACGGCGCCTGGAATACAGGACGGCCCGGTGAAACGGGCTGCGGCGGGGGCAACATGGGATCGTGGGAGAGGTAAGTGGCTGTTTTTTTTTTAAAGTCAGCAGCTACAGTTTTTGTAGCTGCTGACTTTTACTTTTTTACAGAGTGAGTGGAACTCCGCTTTAAAGTGATTCTAAAGGTTGTAATTTAAAAAACAAAACAAAAAACAAAACATGTTATACTTACCTGCTGTGTGTAATGGTTTTGCACAGAGCAGCACCGATCCTCTTCTTTTTGAGTCCCCTGCTGGTGATCCTGACTCCTCCCCCCTGCCAAGTGCCCCACAATAGCAAGCCTCTTGCTATGGGGGCACTTGAGCAGGCAGGTTTACTGCTGAGCCTCTCTCCTGTGAATGGACCTAGTCCGTTCACATACATAGAGTGGCTCGGCCCTGCCCCCTGCTGTCTCCTCATTGGCTCACTGGCTGTGATTGACAGCATCAGGAGCCAATGGCTCCCACTGGTGTATGAGCCAATTAAGGGAGAGAGAGAGCTACAGCTGTGACCACATTGCTGGATCGAGATAGGACTGAGGGGGGAGCTGTACCCAGAAGGTTTTTTACCTTAATGCATAGAATGATGCCTTTAGAACCACTTTAACCAGTTGTAAGGAACATATGAGGCACAGAGGTGAAGCCCAGAGTCAGCCACAAAAACCATTAATACACACACTTTGCTGATTAACATGTTCATATTTATGTATCCATATGAAAATAAACCATTTTAATCGCAATCGATCATCCAACTGGCTTCTAGTATCTGTAGTCAGATGTATTCTTTGTAAGCTAAAAAAAAAACTTTGCTGAAAGAAACCTCAGTCCCAAAATAAGCACTTTATTTTTTAAATTAATATAATAGTTTTTTTGTGTTTCAGATTCTTCTCTTGGGCTGCCCACTGCTGATCCCATTACTTAAAGCGGAGTTCCACTCATTTTTTTTCATGTTCCTTGCAACACAATGCTCACCCGCAGAACAGTCTGTAATTGCAATTATTATTATTTTTTTTTTTAAATACCTTATTTTTCTATATGTAGTCAACACTTCCAGTCCTGGCCGCCTGGCGATTTTGTCATTAGGCAATTCCCTAGGGATCCCGGGATATCGCCGTCATCTATCTAAGGAACCTTCAGACTGCACTTGCCTTCCTTCCGGGTGTTGATTGACAGATTGCCATAACAACGGGGTGGGAACGTCCGCCAACATTGACATTGTTATGGCAATCTTTAAGCAACACAGTGCGCCACGCTGTCCTTACTGCGCAGCCGCAAAATCGGGAGGTGCATGCTGGTTAGCCAGCTGAACGGAATCCCAGAAGCAAGTAGGAGCGGGCTTCAGATGCCCACACTAGTAATGGCCGCTGTCTGTCTGCTGGGATCCTGTGATGAATGTCATATTTTACAAGTAAGAAGAAGAAATACACTTATAACAGTATCCTATTTATATTGTGCAACTAAAGAATCACAGGGGTGCCTTTTGGAGAAAACTGCCAAGGAGACTGGAGCTCCGCTTTAAGTCTTTTGTAATTGAAAGGTGACAGCAACAGTGTGCAGGAGAACTGCTCCCAGCCTCAACAAATGTACACAAACATCACTGAAACTGTAATTGGAGCTGCTGTCCTGCACACAGACTCAGCATAAGTAAAATAGTAGTTCCTAGGGCAACTCCCAATTGCATCTTGAGGGAAGTAGCAGGTAGGAAAGGAGCAAGAGAAGAATCTGAAACACCCAGAAGTGTCATTTTTTTTCCCCTCCTTGTAACTCTGCAGTTATGTGATAAGCTGATTGCCTAAAGGGGGCAATAGTAGTTACAAATAAAGCACTATGATATCAATATTAAAAATTAAGTGTTTTAGTCTGGTGACAGGGTCTCTCTTGAGATTGGAGTATCAGACTAGCAGGGCTTCAGATTGTCCCTCTGCACAGTTCCTCCCTTTTTCTTCTTTAATTCCTGTGTCTTCAGTTGTAGATATTCATGCTGGCTCTTCTTTTCCCAGGAATATCTGGCTGGTACCCCGTAATGTTACCCGAGGATTTCACTATATCTGGCACAGCGGGTGTCTTGAACAATGTGGTTGGAGGTCTGGAGTTTTCCATGAACTTTGCTCACCATTCAGACAGAGATCGAGTCCTGGAGGTGGCCCGAGGCTTAGGATGGAATGATGTAGAGGAGGAAGTTGGTGGACATGTCCGAGATGGTTGGGAAAAGGAAGACTTGGTCAATCTGTCTGTCACTGTTCCCAAAATCTGGCTTCCAGTTCACTGTCTCTTGCTGGCCGGACACAAACACATCCACAAGAGCACTTACTGCTACCTGCGGTACAAGCTGTACGATAGAGACTCAGTCTGCTCCCACTTAAGAAAACCGACCTTATCAGAAGATGGCCAACAGGCCACCGTAGTGTTTGAGCAGACTAGGAAGATAGAACTGATGAAACATCAACCATTAGTGTGGTACCTACGAGAAGAGAAGTTGGAGGTCCAGATCTGGCGCTCCTATGGGAAAGACACTAGCGGGCCAAGACCTCAAGATACCGACCGTCTCCTTGGTTGTGCTTATGTGGA